TAGAATGTGAATTTAATATTCTAAAAATAATATTGCTTCTTTTTAAGCTAGAAATTTATCTCATTGGGCAGATTCCAGTCTGCCTCTGCTTGACCCTTGATTTATATGCTTGAGTAAATCACCTTTCACCTCCCTGTGTTTCATTTCTCTAGTCTGTAAAATGAGAAGGGAAAGGCTTAAGAGCGACCACAAAATCCTAGAGCCTTCGACATGCTACAAAGCATCGTTATGCAGCAACTCATTGGGAAACACTCATTATTTCCCATGTTCTCTGCTGGCCCAAATTCCTGACACAGATGACCAGCGTAAAGCAAACTCTAAATGCCGACTCTGGCCCTTCAAGTCTCAAGTCATCTAAGCACATAAGGGTAGTTTTGCTTATGCCAGTATCTGACTGCTTTCTAGAAAATGACTTAGCACTGAGAAAGTCGGACTCCTATGCAACCCTGAGAAACTAAGAAAAGAAACAGGAAACGGATAAAACAAGGGCATTCATGTTTGCGGAACACCTATAATAGAGATTATTATAATATAAACCTCATTAAGGTCTCACAACAACCTATGTGGAAAGTTTTATTGCCTAGATTTCAAAGATGAATTCCTAGGAGAAGTTCAAAGTTAGTGCCCAAGACCAGAAGGTACTAACCAACTTCAAAGCAGAATGTGAGAAAGGCTAGCTAAGCCTGGTAGCAAGTTCCATGATGTCTAGGTGAGATCTGAGAGCTACTGGATCTGAGATCTACTGAACTGGATATCAGTCACTCTTTTAACTTAGCTACTCAGCATCAAACCTGCAGAGCTCTGCCTGAGTAGCATTACCAAGGCCATGTGTGGTAAGGGAATTTATTTTATTATGAACAAGTAGCCCATAGAGGGCGATGTCCTTCAATCATGACTGACTCACTCTAGCAAGCATCTTCAAAGCTTTCATTCAAACGCTTTGTGTTTCAAAGGCACCCTGCTGCGACCATACTCTGCAGGTCTATGTGGGAAATGACCAGGACAGCTATGGAGCAGTGACAGCCCTTCCAAACCTACAGCAGAGCAGAGACAAGGGTATCTGAAAAGTGGTCAGGTTCCATAGAAGACCGTAGGGAAGTGAATAATGTGACTGTTTTGTTTGCTTGGTTTTTTTCCTGCCTCCTTTTCCTCCCGTTTTCCACCCATACACTTCTGTACTCCTCTGATTTGATGGATCACAGACCAAGGGCACGCGAGAGTAAAGCCAGCAAGTACAATGCCCTAAAGTTTTCAGCCCCTCAACTGGCACTAGCTTGCCTCTTCAAAGGAAGTAGCATAAAAAGGAGGGAACAATAAAGTTACAGTCTTGAAATCCAGGAACCTTTACTGTGTTTGGACAACCCCATTAAATTAGGATACTTAACCTTGATTAAGCAATATCATAGCTAAATGTTAAAGTTATGTGTCCATTGTCTTCACTGTAATCATAATAGGCACTTTCTATCTACCAGGTCAAGCGTGCAATGTAATATTCTTGAAGATTTCGCCATGACCGTATGAGGCAGACACAGTTTTACACCCATATAGTCAGTGACTGAGTTGTAGCACAGGAATGTTGGGTACCTTTCCCAATGTCACAGGGGAGGGGAAAACGTGGTGGAATAAGAATTCTCACTATCCCAGTGGCTAGACTCCAACCCTGGCACTTTCTCAAAGTAAGTTTCTGATTGCCTCTGGCAGACAGTCACAGACACAGTATGTGCCAGTAAATAAGAATCATTCAAACAAATAATTTTCATGGATTTCCCTGACCCATGTAAGCAGTCCTATATTAATCAACTGCTGGGATGAGAGCAGACCAGAGGACCGGGGAGCACGGGAGTGATTTCCAGGACAGCTGCATGCTGTTGGATCATAGGCCACCCAGGTGGACCTGCACCGACCTAACAAGATGCATGTATTTAGGGGACTGAGTTTCTTTGCTAGGATACAAGTGTCCGACTGTGAGGTGTGTAGCTATGAGAAAGGGAAGGTGGGGAAATGATTAGCCTAAGCAACGACTCCTACCAATTTATTTCAGAGGCTGAAGTTCACCAATCTGCCCTCCTCCCGATGCCATGAAGTCCTTTCTTCTCTCCTCGCAAGCCAAGGACTGATAAGGAATGAGAACAGAAAGGCAGGTGCCTTACTGTCTCAAGTGGCTTATTGGCATCTCTGAGGTCCTCATACAGGGTGGCACCCGCTGGGCTGGTTTATGCCCTTCACAACAAGAATTCTTTTTTTATCTCTCCTCCCTGTTGAGTGGGGGTGAGGCAGGGAACATGCCAGAAATACTTTTTAAAAAAAAAAAAATCCCCCCTCCTGTCCCATTTTTCTCCCCCTTTACTTCCCATTCTCTCCTTCCCTCATCTCTCCGGCACATAAGGAGACCCATCACTGGAGCTGGTAAAATATAAGGACATAATTGGACTGGAAGACAAAGTGGGAAGGAAGAGGAGGGAGCTGAGGAGTCCAGCTGGGCAGTTAACTCTGCTGTTACATACATCTACCAAGGAGGCGCATCCCTGACAGTCAAAATGGGATCCAAACATTTCTCTGCCATCATCTCTGGCAAAGCTCCTAGGGGCTTAGGATCCTAGTGGCAGGTTACAGGGTTAGAGCCCCAGGTTGGCCAGGAGGAATGGATGAGATCTCATTCAGGAGACCGCCTGTCATGGCACCCTGGGGCTGTGCTAAAGCAGGCAGTGTGTTCTCTGAGGTTTGTTCTTTTCCTCGTACTAACTGGGAGCTGCCCTTGATCTTTGGACCTCTTCCCAGGCCCAGGAGAGGTAAAAATCTGATATTGCCTTGGGTGTGACCCCAGCCAGGCTTGTTAATAAACATTCCTTCCTGTTTCTCCCCGGCGACAAAGGAGAAGGGAAGCAAGGTCCGAGGACAACAGCAGAGGTTATGCCAGGAACAGACCACAGCAGGGGAAGCAGTCCCGGCTAGAGCTGAGTCAGTCCCTGGCTTTTTCCTATTTGTGTAGTTCCCTCGCTGAGACCAATCAGCCCGAGGTGGGTTGACCTGTAACCTACCTCTACCTGGAACTTGCAAATGGGTCGGCATTCTCTGCTTTGTTTCTTCTCCCGTGGCACCAAAACGTTACTCTATTTTCAAGGTGAAGTCTCCCACCCCGCTTTTAATTCCCTCATCAAGGGAACACTGTGAAGGTACACCTGAGTTTGGGTCTAAATAAATGCAATTTTAATGGGCTGTTGAAACTCTGTGAATACTTCCCTATGTTTTAGGCTAAAGTAGATTAAAGTCTAAATGCACAGAATGGCATTGTTTATCACACCAGCAGATCTTGAGCTCTACATGTGCTTAGCATGCATGAGGTTCAACCGCCAACATACAAAAAAAATTAAATTATTTATTTTATATGTAAATTTTATTAATTTGATATATATGTGTATAGATATGTGTGTGTGTGTCTAAAAGGGCTTCCCATTATAATACACTCAAGACCCCTTTTCAATTCTTTTGACTGAATTTCCTGTATATGTTTAACATTCTCCTGCTAATAAAACGTAGTCTCTTGTTTATTATTTTTTAATAAATTTTTTATTACTTATTTTTTTCCAAATTCTCACTCCCTCCCATCCTCCCATTCCCTCCACACACCCTCCCATCCCACCCCCCTCTAATCCTAAGAGAGGGTAAGGCACTTTGCTTTGTGGAAGGTCCAAGGCCCTCCCTACTACGTCTAGGCTGAGCAAGGTATACAGCCAAAGAGAATAGGATTCTTGTTTATTATTAAAAGACCTTTCCTCATATCCTTTAAAAAACCCAGCCCCTATTCTTTCTTCCTCTTATTTAAATAAGATTAATTTTAGTAGAGTTCTTTTGTCAGTGTTCTGTTTTATGTTTATACACAACCATAGCCATTAAACAGTTTTTCACCCAGTTATTCAGGAAGAGTCAGTCTTGCTCTCCAGTGTGGCTAGGATACTCTCTAGATTAAAGCTCTCCAGGAATTTGCAGTGTTGCTGGAATCCTTTCCAGGACCATTGGGCCGTCTATGGCCTCTTCTCTGCCTGTCTTACCCACGAGGCGCCCCTCATCCATCGTGGGCCCACATTGCCTTTCTGCCCCTCTATAAGCCCGAGTTCCTTCACACTCTTTGGACTTGCTGCTGATTCTTTTATTTTCAGGATCACTTCCTTCTCGTAGATGACATGTCATCTTAGAGAGGCCACTGCTCCTTGTCACGCCAAGCAGCCTGTGATATTCCCATGCTTCACACCTATCCTAGCTGTCTGAATGCCATACTATTTTGAAGTTTTTGCTCATTTTCTCATTTATGAGCTTTTGTTCATTTTCACTCTTCCTTGGGTCCTTTATTATGCTCTAGGAAAGGAAGAGAATTTCTTTTGTGGGTAAGTTTGTGGCTGGCAGTAGTAATTCTTTTTTAACTTTTTTCAGCTTCATACACATTTTAAAAAATGCTGGGCATGCTAGTGCAGGCCTTTAAGCCTAAAACTCGAGTCAAAGACAGGTGGATGTCTGTGAGTTCAAGGCCATCCTGGCCTACATAGTGAGTTCCAAGCTGGGCAGAGCTACATAGTAAGACCCTGTCTTAAAAAAGAAAAAATAAAAGAATATATTGTGTTCATATTCATCCTTTCTTACCCTCTTTTCTCCTTCCATCTCCTGATGACCTGGAAGGGAATTTTCTGTTCTTTGTTTATTGTAGTTTCCAGAACAACATCTACTACATAACAAGAACTCAATAAACAGTGTTCAAGAAGCAGTGCTGGCTCATCTCCACACTTACTTGAAGAATTCCCGTTGCCTTGAGTCTTACATTGCATTGAGTATTCTCATCGAATTATCCAGTTTCATGATATCGTCACGTAGTTGTCAAACAGTCAGAAGTTGACAATCTCCAATGTTGTCCAGCCCAGTTTTAGACCAAAAAGGTAAGAGAATGCCTTGCACCCTTTAATACCTCAGATATCCTTTTCAGATCTTTTGTAATAAGGCATAACTGAAAACCGAATAATGGCAGTCAGTGGGGAATCTGAACGGGGACCTAAAGCGCCTGCATCTTTGAAGGCTTGTGCTTTATTTTTAAAATTCGGATGAACTTTGCATTCCAATGCGTGAAGCATCTTGATTTGATTTCATTTACAAGAGCTTCTCTTTCAGGCTGCTGGAGAAATAAATGAACCCTCCAAGAAGATGTGCCCTGTGTACCTTGGAAAATCACCAAGAATTCCAAGTGCATGCGGCATGACGACACCATCTCGAAAGGACTCTGGAGGGACCTTAGGGAACGCAGTCCCTCCCACCCCTGGGTGTGCTCCTGTGTCTTCACCCTCACCACAGAATAAGTCCTGCAATGTGGCCACGCAAGTCAACTCAGGAGGAGACATGGGTGTGAGGTTTTGAGGAGAAACCTAAAAGTTCTGTCTTTCTGCATCCTTCTCTCTTCACACCCCACTTTCTCTTTTAAATTATTGCTTTTTTTCTGTTAATGTGCTTGATGTTAAAAGAAAAAGGGTAAATCTCTCTCACTGGCAAGATAGACCAGAGAGTGGCCATACAACCCAAGTCTTCCAGGGTCATTCTAGATTTGCTGTACTGCAGCATAAATGTTTTAGGGTACTCTTCTCATCTGAACAGTCTCTAGTCAGTGTAAGGAATGTGTTCTCCACACCCCTCCCCTTAAATGGACTAGCGGGACCAACCCAAACCAATCACAGGCAATTAATATAAATTCTTTTAGCTTAGCTCCAAGCTGCCAGGGAGAAAGAATCTGTGTGACTCAGAATCATTAGTGTCCAATTAATCTATTAGGAAATCAGAAACTCAGAAGCATCCTAATGGGGTCATTTGTTCCCTCTATTTCTACAGGCTGGAGCTGGTAATCACCACTTGTGATTTCACAATGGTGTTTGCAGGAAGAAGACAGAAGAGGCAATCGGGATGATAAGGGTGAATTTGTTTAACTAAATACCATCAGATAAATTAGTAAAAGTATTTTAAATAAAGTATGACATGTGAGAATCATCCCTTTAGGGATGCAGAAAATTTGCATAATTATCTCTTTGAGTAACTGGGAACTTGAAGATCATTATTTCATGAATGTCTGCGATAGCAAATATGGTCACCACTTCAGGGAATACAGGGGACTGATGTTCCCTGATCCTGTCCTCTGAATCCAACAGTGTTATAAGGCTACGCTTTCCATGGATGCATCCATCCAATGTAAACACCCCAGGGAGACAAAGGACGTAGGACCCTCTGGCAGCTCGCTTTGTCATGAGGACTTCAGCCATCATTGCCAAACTTAGAATTTAAATGTTAGGCTCTTTTTTCTTTCTTTTCTCCCATGTCCTTTTCAGCCCTCAGTCCCACAGTAATATTTTTAAGGGACAAGAAAAATTAAACTATTTAATATGCCTAAGATAATTGATCTAAGAAGGAAAATCATGAGTGATCATAAGAGAATTTTGACCTAAGTCTGAGGGAAATTTATAATAACTAGAGCATGTCAGAAATGGCTGTGATTGTGCAGATAGAGGTGGCAGTAATCAGTGTCCAAAGTTATTTATTTCATATCAAATGCTACATTTACTCCAAACGCTGTTTAGAGAATAAATATATTCCTTCAGGGTAGCACAGCAGTGATAACTCAATTCATATATAATGAGTTTATATATATGTTTGCTCAGCAGATTTTCATATTCTTTCTTTCCAGTGTTTATTTATCCAGAAGCATAAAAAGAGTTAAGGTGCCCTTTATCCCATCCCAAGCAATAGTAAACATTTTTGAAGGTCGTAAGTTATTCAGAAACTCCCATTCAATGTGCAGATGGAATCAACTTCGCCCCCCACCAATCACCGCCTCCCTTTGATCCTGTGGTCCCTGCTCTGTGTTTGCTTAGGTTCAGATGATGAAGGTATTTAGCTAATTATGCAACCTCCTTCTCTAGTGGAAGAATTTCAGCAAATTGCATCCCGTTCTGACCAATCTTCCAGGAAAGGCTGTGTGATATGGAACAAAGGCATCGGAGTGGAGGTACAGAAGGCCACATGCTCAGGTGCTGGCCATGCTACCATGCATGGGTCGCCTTCCTCATGGACGTTCAGGATCTTTTTAAGGGGGCTCTATTTTCATTTGGACTCAACAGACCAAGTAAAAAAGAAAAATTTGCCAGGCAGTGGTGGTGCACACCTTTAATCACAGCACTCGGGAGGCAGAGTCAGGCGGATCTCTGTGAGTTTGAGCCAGCCTGGTGTACAAGAGCTTGTTCCAGGACAGCTAGGACTGTTACACAGAGAATCTCTGTCTCAAAAAAAAAAAAGAAAGAAAAGAAAAAGAAAAAGAAAAAGAAAAAGAAAAAGGAAAAGGAAAAAAGAAAAAAAATAAGCAAAATTTTGTGTCTAATGTTAATTTTTTAATCATTAGAAATACATTTATCATAAAAAGCAATAATTTAGATTTAACAATTGCTTTAGCATCCTCAAGTTTGTGAAATTTTGTAGCCCCAAAGAGATATAGTAATGTTTATGTAAATGAATATTGGCATACTGTTACATTTAAATTTAAACAATGAAGCAATAATGGTAGCCACTACATAGTACAATGGACCATTAAGCAAAACTACCATCCCCATGGATGCATCCAAATCACATAGTCTCTTAAAAACTCTTTTGTTGAAAGAAAAAGTAAAAGAGAGAAGTCAGAGAGATATAATGTAACAAGGTGAGTCAGAAGGGTTTGAAGGCCACTTCTGTCTAACAAAGACAGTGGGGGCAGGAGATGGAGATAAAGAATGTTGCCAACCTGGGAGCTTAAAACAGGAACCAAGGTCAAGTGCAGAAAAATAGCTACAGCTCCGAACCATCCATACTCTGTGCCCAAACTTCTAGCCAAAGATAGCTCAGATAATAGGTGGGTAAGGTAAGATAGGTAAGCTGACAGATGGGGAGTCTAGGCCACTAAGTCTACGATTGTTACACAGCAACGAAACAAATGACGACTTCTAACGCTATTATCAGCACAGCGCTGTCCCTTGGACACAATCAACAGAAATACACAGAGCAAAAGGATGAGGGGAAATACTCACCCTTCTAAGGTTTCTTATGCAATTTTGATCAAGATTTCTACTTTCTTGCCATGATTACTCCAGCCTTACCCATTTCCTTGGGGTTTGAGAGGTCAAACTTTTGCACAGGTTTTAGGAAACCAGATTTCTCACTCTTCACTGTTTACTGCTTATTCTAGAAGATTTCAGGTGAACTATAAAGAAAGCCCTGTAAGGTTAGTTCTGCTATAACAGTGAAGAGATACTTTGAAAAACATGTGACAGTTCTGCGGGGATGGTTTAAGCAAGGCAGATGGCAGCTGTTGTTTCTCTAACTCCTCTCGCGCCTCTTGCAATCTGCACACTTTTTTTTTTTTTTGAGAATTCTTTCTTCCCTGGAAATTCAAGTGCTTCCAGTAAAATCGTCACGACTCTGGGAAGCTGCAGCATCCCTAGGGCATATTAGATTGGTCCAGAGACTGACGATTTATTCAGTCTGAGAGGATCCAATCCTCCACTGGAAAATTGTATCTTTTCTCCAAAGAAAGCATCAATTAACTCCTCACTGGTGTTGAAGGATACTGCGGAGTGTAGGATTCAGGAAGCGTTGGGAGTAATGCTCCTTGCCCTGCAAAGGGAGGTAACCTACACTGAAAGGGAAGGAGGATAAACCAGGAGGGAACACAGAAATGAGAGTCGGAAAGAACAGGCTATGCTCTGCCCTGCAGCTGCCTCTCACCCTGTCTATGGCTTCATTTCCAGTCCCCCTTGACGGTCCATAGACCAGCATGTTTCCCCTTTGTCCTGCAGCAGTTCAAGGGAATTCAGCCTCTTACAGAGACATGACTCACACAGTAGATTTTTTAAGTTTTGTTTTATCTTCAAAATATCATCATGCGGTGGGAAATTTTTCTTGCCAAGCAACTTATCCAAGATTTTCCAAGACAACAGTGAGCCATCGGGCTTCCATTTTTATTCTTTTCGGTCAAAACATGGGCTGGAACACCAAACATGTCCAAGGACTGCTTCTTGCTCACAACCATACAAAACACTCTTTCCCATTTTGGACAAAGACACATGAAGTTATCAACAATATCTTGACTCCAGCAGCCTATAAAATACCAGCTGTATATATTATCTGTTCTATGTCTAGTGTTGAATATTTCAATTAGTGCAGAAATTGAATGAGTCTACAAATGCTGTATATTGATAATCATATTTAGCAGGCTTAAAACAAAACAGCAAGGCAGAGAAAGATCTATTCTACTATAAAAATCCATTGCTTCTTCCTTTGTATTCATAACCTTGGAGGAAAAAAATACTACAAATTTAAATCAAGTATAGATGAAAAGCAAACACTGAAACTTTAAATTTTACATTTTGACAGCTGATCACTTGTAAGAATAGCATCAGAAATGAACTCGCTCATTCAATTCATGTTTCACAAATAGAACTATAAGGTATCTAGTTTATAATAAAATAAATAAATAAATGACATTAGCCAACCTGACCTTTGTTGAATCTCTGCTCTTTGGGCAAATGACTTTAAAATTCTCTCAAACCCCATCTTTAAAGTGGGGGTGTAAGCTGGGTGGTCGTGGCATACACCTTTAATCCCAGTGCTCAGGAGGCAGAGGCAGGTGGATCTCTGTGAGTTTGAGGCCAACCTGGTATGCAAGAGCTAGTTCCAGGACAGGCTCCAAAGGTACAGAGAAACCCTGTCTCAAAGAAAAAAAAATGGGGATGCACTGAGTATTGCGGTTAAAAACCAGATCATTTTGAGGTTAAGCAAGTTGACCCTTACTTTTCTGGTGCATCCTAAGATAGGCAGACAGACAGATATATGTGTATATACAGATATAAATGGACCTAGGCCATGAGTCATGCTTTAGATAGGAAGTATGTTCCCAAAATCTCATGTGTTAAAGCCATGGTCCTGAAATGAAGAATCCAATCATCAAAATGAGGATTCTAGCAAAATCAATAACTAATCCTGGTGGGTTCATAATCTGATGATATTTCAAGGTGCAGAAACTTGCAGAGATGGTGCCTGCAAGAAACAAGGAGGCCACTGAGGACCTTGCCCAGAGGCTTTTCTCTTTCTCCCTCAGTTTTTCCCCTCTCCCTCCCCGTCCTCCTCTCATTCTCTTCCAATCTCCTCTCTCTCCAGAAGTTAATTTTCTCTGCTGGACCACCTTTTCCCTGCTATGGTACTCTGCCTCACAACTGCCTCAGAATCAGAGGCACCAGACCAAGCATTAGCTGAACCTCCAAGATTATAAACCAAAGACTAAATCTTCCCTTTTTTAAACCTTCTTTCTTGGGTATTTGTCATGGCAATGAGAAACCTGACTAACGTGCTACCATGCTCAGGGATGCCCAGGCTGCAGGCCCCCTAACAGCAAAATACATAATGCAATGAGAACAAACCAATTAGTACAAGACATTTTTGTAAAAAATCACCCAACTGCATATTATTCAGTGGCCACAATGAATAAACTGCAGTTGTACACATGAGAACTGGGGAGTCTCTAAATCAACTTTCAATAAATTAAGTTCGAGAAGAATTTGCACTTCAGGATTTCATTGACATCAACGTCAAAAACAAGCACAGTGAAGAGCTTGTCGTGAAGAGCTTGTCCTGACACTCATACACATATGGAAAGTTAGGCTAACAAGATCACAGTCTGAACAAAACTCAAGACAGAAATTGGTTCCATAGCTAGGAAGGGAAGCAAGGCCATGGGGAGGGCACATAGTGGCACTGGAGAACTGATAAAAATGTTTTCTTTAAATTAAAGCTATAAGTAAGGTATTTATTTTCCATTTTCCCTATAAAATATATGTTTTAAGTTCCCATATAAGGTGATTTCAGAACAGAATTAATATTTATCGTAACTAAATATCATATTTTTAAAAAGTAAGATTGACAGTAGGGTCTAGCATAGTCTATGCTCTTGATTAAAGATGGGAGGTATAATGCTAACATCATGGCCTGCA